GTAAGCACTGCTCAGCAACAACTAAACCAGCAGTGTCTTACCGACATTATTATTGTACTAAATCCAAACCACAGCACTATCCCAGCTACTAGGAAGAAAATTAACTCTGTCCCAGCCAAAACCAGGACACTTAGTCTGTATTCGTAGTGTTTACCCAGCAAGCTTCTGCTTTTAACACAAAGGCAGTTCAAGATTTAGAAACCATGTAAATAATTGTTTTAAAGATAACGTTTCTGTTAGTTAAAAAAGCAAATAAAATCTGAAGATGATTAAAAAAAAGTAACTTGATGACAAAATTCATTTGAAGGATAAAAAAATGATTTCTGGGACAAGATTTTCTCAGTTCGCTCAGAGGTGGGATTAACTGACCTGCCTGAAGCGGAGGAATCCGTATGATGTTATAGGCGAGCGCAAAGTTTTTTCCAAAGCAATTGCCGATGTTGTAAACCGTGCCGTCGTTTTCAACGTGGGGATGAGCCGTTGCCCCGTTGACGGACACGTATTTACAGAGATCCACCTGGAGAAGATGCAGAAAGTCAAGAACTTTCTTGGCAGGAGATGGGAAGTCACCAGCTCTGCAGGTCAATACGACCCCGCTTCGGACGTGGAAGGTTCTTCTCTAAGCCCAAATCACCGTCCATTTTGTGAAAAGGAGAAGAGCAGCAAAGCCAAGCAATTTGAGACGGTCAGGTGAGCCGACATGGTTACAGGGAGAGGTTCGGGATCCTGGGGTCCAAAAGGAAAGGCTCCACAGGCTGGGCATTGGTAACACAACAAAGAAAAACACCAAAACACGTGTTGTTCTGCAGGCTGAATGTGCTCTGCTCCGAGGTAAATGAAGGCAGCAGTAAAGCTCTGGCAGGAGCCCTCCGGTTACGGTCCCCTTTGGCCAGGCTGCAACGTAGTTTGCAAACCCCAGCCCAAGCACGAGGATGCGGACCACGGGCCCCCATCGCCGTCTCATTAAATATTACCCAGAGCAGCAGCAGTGGCTTCATTTACGAGCTCGTTCCGACTCTGCTCTCATCAACCCTCAGCTGGCTTCGTTTCTGCATCATCTCCCTGACAAACCCCAACTCTTGCCTTCTTGGAAGAGGCTGTTATTAAACGTTTTCATTTGAGTTTTACTCCTCCACATATTTAGAAGCACAGTACAAAGACCCACCTGCTTAATAGTCTCTAATGTATCCGGGTTAATTTTGGTTATAAAGTTGGTCTCGGTACAGGCATAGTAATCTTCGCCGACGGGGTAGACGTTAACGAGGGCGTTATCAGTGACCTCCACGCCTTTGAAGTACGAAAAAAACCTGAGCAGAGAAAATGGTCAGGCAGTCAGGGGCTTCTTGGAAGTGGAAGCACCGTTGGACATCGCTGCAACGTCTACAACCCTGAGGTACCTGGAAAAGATGTTCTTGCATGGGTCCGGGTACGCGTAGGTGCCAAATTCTGTTATCACGATCCTTTTCTCGGTCATCGCTCTCACATAAGCATCTGTCCTGACAAACCTAGGGAGGGCGAGGAGGCGTGTTATAGGTATAACCGTAAAACCGCAACAGGCTATGCCCTTAAAATACAAATATTCTTGTGATGAGCCTCATGAGACCCCTGAAAGGCGCAGGTCCCCGCAGCCTCACATCGCATCCGGAGCACGTGGGGTCCAGCAACCGCCCCCCACCGCGGCACTGGGAAGGGACGGCCGGCAGAGAGCTGAAGCTGATGGGAAATACGGGGCTTTGTCTAAACATTCTGCACCAGACACCTGAAAGCCGATAGCTCGGCGGCTTCTAACTGAAAACACATTTCGTTTTTCAGAGGCAACGTAATTCTGTCACCGGCTGCAGCTACACCCAGCCCTCCCTCTCCTCCTCTTCCAGATGTTTTGTAATCTGTACAAAAAGTTGCATTTCTGCTAACTATGAGTAAGTTTCAGTTATTTTCAGCTGGTTTTAGTGATCTCACTGTTAGAGCTCTTCCAATAACCGCATGGACTTGAAATAACCGGTGCCTCCCACATGCTGGGCAGCAGAGCCCGTCCCCAGCACTTACAGTCGAGCAAATGCTTCGTTATTTGTTCTTTTTGCTTGGAAAATTGCCACGTACCTTCGGTGATAGGTAACGTGCCCCTCCTTGAAGTCGAACTTGTGGAGGAGGGCCTGGCCATCAAAGAGATGATAGAAGGGCTCTGCGCCCACCTCGAACAAGCCGGGACCACATCTCAGGAGGCTTCCCCGCAGCCAGGTGGGAATCCTGCCTGCGGAAGATGCAGCATTGGAACGTGCACCGCCCGCGGCAAATCAGACCAAGTGATTTTTATTGTGTCAACAAAAAGAACAAAACTTCAAGCTATTTTTTTTAATGTTTATTAAACTTGGTTTTTAAACCAAGTGAGCTCTTCAAACGACGCTGTTTTCTTCACCTACACACTACTGTAGACCAAGACATTCAGTATTGAAATGTCTAAAGATTCCCCATCCAGTCTGTCCTTCCTCTAGCCCAGAATACGCCAGCCCCGTCAGGTCCTTTACCCCGACCCCGTGCTCCAGCCCTTGTAAAGCCTCCGAGCTGCGGTGGCCCACGAGCTCCCGAGAACACAAGCTGGGCAGGAGGAGATGAGGGAGCCCACACCAACCTGTGACGTGGGCGGTCACGGGAGAGGACAGCTCCTCCACGGTCTCAAAGAGCTTCTTGTAGCCTCCAGCGGGATGCTCAACTCTGAAAGGGCCAGCAGACCTGGGGTTAGCTCGGTTTTGGGATACTCCCCCGCCAAGAGAGGGGGTGGTTTCTGGAAGGACGGATCTGTGACTTGCAAATAACTTGAGAG